CCGCCGCCGCTCTTCTCCCCGGGAGGGTCTGCCCGGTGTCAGGTCTCCCCGTTCCTCCGGCCCACGGGGGGCGCGAACCCAGGACACGGGATGCGCGAGCAGGCACCCCGCTCCGCGCCCAGCAGCGCGCGCGCTCGTTCGGAAAACCAGCCCGCCGCCCCGGAGCGGCCCCTCGGGCCTTTCAGGTGGCGGCGGGGAACCGGTAGGGATCGGGCTGGCTTGCGGACGCGTCCGGGAGGATGCACGGCCCCGGGGGCCCGAGGTCACACCCCTCCGGCGGGGGCCCGGGGACCGTGGTGGCGGGAGTTGGCAGTGACCGCGCTGGGGTGTGTCTTCCAGACTGAGACTGCCGCGTCTGGCTCGGCGCGCCGCCCGGGCCCATGGAGCTGGAGAGGCAGTGGTGGCGAGGACAGCTGGCCGCCGACATTCACCAAGCGCTTCGCTACAAGGTAACCCCGACGCCTGACCTTCGGGCTGAGCGCCTTGTGCCACTTCCTGTGAATTCCGGCAGCCGGGGGAGCCCGATCAGGTCCTTCACCCACCGGCTAGCGGGCCAGGACAAGCGCGTTTGCTTCTTTGCTTAAGGTCAATTAACTTCGTGGTTCTTTTCCCAGGGTGGATCCGAAGAACCTGCAACTACCGCGGAGGTGGGTGGTGGGGTGTGGTCGTTGGCGGAGGGAGGGCGAGGCGGACCTTTCGGATGTCCCCAGGTAGAACAGGGACTTGTATTTGAAAAGGTGATACAGGATGTTGTGCTTTGTTTTGTGTTGGTTTTGTTTTTAATTGGGTAGAGCAGCCTTCCTTTATGTATGGCTGTAATTGCATGCAGCTAAGTCGTATTCATACAAAATAATGTTCCCAGCCCTCCCACTCACTTGCTATATGAGTCTTAGGATAAGTTACTTAATTTTCTATTTCGTAATCTGTGAAACGGGAACTAATGATAATGATAGAACAGGCCATATGGGGGTGATTGTGAAGATTAAATGTGTTAGTATTTACATGTAAAGTTCTTCGAACGGTTCCAGGTATATAGAAAGCACTAAGAAAGTTTAGCTCATTCTTCCTTGCCCCTCTCCCCCCTAAAACTTGGGGCTGTTCCAGGAAGACTTTAAGGTGGAAGATGCATTAGCTTCAGTGTTTGCTAATATCCATTCTTTAGAAATGAATTGGCTACTGGAATGTTAGGAATAGAATTGAAGGCTCTCCAGCGAATACTTGGTCAATTTTTGCAGGTGTCAACTTTTAATTTGAAATGTTCTTTTCTAAGTATTAGCTCGTTATCCCCTAGTAGGTGGTAAAATCTACAACTTTATTAACCGAAAATCAAAAGTCTGGTGGAATGTTGCCTGTGTGTAACAATTTTTGATGGGTGAGCTCTGCTGTCTCTGATAGCCAAAAGCAAGACCAGATCCAAAATGATCTCCAGCTTGATTCTACTTGAACCCTGGATATATAACCCTGTAACTCACTGTTACTGAATTGATGCCGACTCACAGTGAGCTTATAGAGTAGGGTAGAACTGCCCCTGGGGGTTTCCAAGAAAGTAACTCTTTAAGGGTGTAGAAAGCCTCCTCTTTCACCAGAGAAGCATCTGGTGGTTTCAAACTGCCAACCATGCAGTTAGCAGCCCAATGAGTAACCACTACACTCACGAGAGCTCCTATGAACCCTGCAGAGAAAGGGCTATTAAGATGAGAAGGAGGCAACACAGCTGATTCCTTTTATAGAGTGCTGATTCTTTACAAGGATGCTGCCTTTTGGAGATCCTGGGATGATAATGAATTTGTATCTTGAGATTCTGACCAGGTAAAGTAAAACCAAAATCTGACTTAAAAAGGTGACCCTTTTCTAATGCTTGAGAATTTCTGAGTGCCACTTATTTATTCTGGCATTCTGTCTCTTGAACACATCTCAGCCCCTCAGAGATTGGACCACCTAAAAAGTCAACTGGATTGGCTCACTGGAAAGTTAGCACTAGAATTGCAGGCTCTCCACCTTGAAAACTGTCCAGAGAATCCTTGGTATATTTTTGCAGGTGCCATCTTTTAATTTGAAATGTTCTTTTCTAAGTAGTAGCTCTTTATCTCCGGTAGGTGGTAAAATGAACTATTTGATGTTAATGATACATATTTTTAATTGACCTGAAATGTAAAAGATTTTTCTCAATGATGTCATGGGTTTTTTTATTCTTAAATTTTCTGTGTATTTTAATTTTAATCCTGAGTGGTTTTCTGAGTCAGTTTTGCCAGTTGAGCTTGGAGAAGCATGTTTGGTTTTCCCTCAGATTTGTCGAACGAATGCATATATATCTTTGTCTCTGTAGAAGTCAATGAATAAGACACAGCCCGACACTCTCGTTGGTTATAAATGATCAAAGGGCATGAGAGTACAGGGTCTGAAGGAGTGCCATCGAAAATGATCCTGGGCCACCTGTAGGGTGTTGCCTGTTTCATCTTTAGGTGTTGTGCAAACCATGCTTCTGAAACAATTGGACACAGTAGCCACACAGCCTGTGCAACTGGAGAGACCCCCCATTGTCTCAGTACACCAAAGTCACGGAAAGTTAAGATGGACCTGCCTCATGTGAGAAACATGGTGATTCTAGGCTCTTACCTAGGTGGTTTAGTTGGATAGTCATGTGCTTTTATTTATTTAGTCGGCGTATTTGAGTGCCTACTGTGTCCAACGTCCTGTGCTAGGTTTTAGAGCAGTAGCAGTGAGTGAGACAGACACGACTCAGAGCATATGAATGTAGGTCTTCCTTTGGGCAGCTGCCAGCTGGATCCTGTAGAAGGTGCTCTGTGTCTGGACCCTATGTTTATGGGGAAGTAATGGGTGGGACCCTGCATTGTATCTACTAGGGAAGTGTAAAACTTACAATGAATAGAAATCTTCAGTCCCAAATGCCAACTATATTGTTTTTATCAAATACAGTTATTAGACCAAACAAACCTACAAAAGTATGTAGTTGTCCCCTTTGACCATGATCTCCATCTCTCTCCTCTCATCATTTTGCAGGATTTTGTAGAATATTTTGGGGAGTCTTTATGACAGATGAGAATAATTCTATTCTTCCGTAGTTTTATTCCCATCCTGACTGTTGTTAACTCATTCCAGGGGGAGATGAGCACTTGAGAAGAGAGAGAGATGACTTTTAGGCCCTGCTGTGCTTTGGGCCTTAAGTCCTGAGAAGCAGAGAGGAAAACGAGTTTTCAGTTCTAGGGATCAGGAATAGACAGAAGAAAGCAGTAAATTGTGTAAAGCATTGGGCATTTTCTCCTGCTCTTACAGCCTTAGACCTTGACAATGAGAATTAATTCTGGAAGTTAAGGGGTAAGATTGACAAGCACTTGAACCTTTTCTGCAGAGCAATGAGGTCATACAGATACCACTTAAGCACTGGGTACTCTTGTTAAAAAAATCTACTGATGGCCCTTACGGTTCCTACTCTTGTTTTTGCATGGCTTTATTTAATAGAAGACATTTTCAAATTAGGTCCACTAGTGAATTTCAAAGGCACCTTTGGTAGCACTATGAGCTAGGCATTGGGCCGTTACCAGTGAAGTCTGCAGTTCAAACCTATCAGCTGCTCCGTTGGAGAAAGACGAAACTGGCTGTTTCTGTAAAGATTGACAGGCTTGGTCATCTTCTATAGGGTTGCTGTGAGTTGGAATCAGTGGATTTAATGTCTTTCAACTATATTTCTCAGTGAGCCGTTAGGGCTTTTAGGCGCCTCCTCCAGAAACCCTACTCTTTTTCCCTCCCAGCCCCTTAAACTGTGGGCTGGGTTAGATTTCCCCCTCAGAGTTTCTATCATACCTTGTAGCCTAATTATCTGTGTCTATTGGCTCACCTGCTACAAGGAGGATTCAGACCAGAAACTGGTTGTACAGCCTTTGTCTGTGGGATAGCACAGTGCTGCTGCAGGGGAGATTCTCGGTCACTGGCGTGATGGCTGTGAAGAAAAATAAAGTTTGAAGTTGCATGGCATCCACGCCATGTCTCAGGGCCACATAAAGTAAATTTTTACTAAGTCAGCATGTTTTCCATGTTTAGAGAAATTAATTTTCCCCCCTTATCTGTAAAATGCCTTCTAGTGTTTTGCCTCCAGTGAGATGCTGGCTCTTACGTTGGAGATCTTTTATTTCCTTCCTTGGTGCCCTCATTTCCATCATCAAGGAAGTAAACATCTGTCTTTAGTTCTCCCACTTACCTTTTTTGGCATCCATCAAGATGATTGTGTGTTAATTACTGAGACTTACATTAATAATGATTTTCGAACGTTAAACCGCCCTTCCCCCAAAAAAGAGGTTTTATGTTTTCACACAAAAGCTAAGATTTTAAATTATCTCTACTAAAATTATACCTCTAACAGGCGATGAGTAAACTTGTTCTATAAAACCAACCCTTGCCCTCCTGGGGTGTACAGCAATTGAGGCACGTTCTTCGGCTACCCCATTCAAGTGCATTGCTAGCATGTTGCCCAAAGCTTGTAGCTTTGTAGCTTGGTTTCCATGTAGACTAACAGGTGGCTCCCTCTTTCAGTGACGCCTCTTGGCTCTGAGGTTTGTGTCATGCTGATCTCATCTACCTCGTGCCTCTGGAGATTTTCTCAGAGTTGCCATTTTTTTTCTGTTCAGTTTTGAAAATGCTAATTGCAAACACTCTACAACTATACCCAGACTTACTTATTTTACTAGAAAAAAAAAACCTTGAGAAATTTTTAGATCAAATTAAGAGAATACGTGTACATTGTTGAATAAACAATTTAATTTTTAAAAAAACTTAGGCTAATGTGGCTCAAAAAACATGCATGGGGGGCTTGGAAGACAGGTATCTGAAAGGCTCAGGACAAAGGAGAGATCATAAAACTTCTGAAAAGATGTGATCAGAGGATGACAAATGGAGGAGCCCTGGTCTCCACCTTCCTTTCCCTAGTAAGTGTAGTGCAGTGTGCAGTATATCTGTTACCTTTTAACTAATAGCTTTGAACCTGCAGAGGTGTGTGAATACGATGTGTGTGGTTGGCGTTTTAGTAGGGACAGTTTTCTGCAAACACCTGGAAGGGACAACAACTGGCTTATTAAGAATCTTACTAGGAAGTATCCATCCAATCCAAGGAGCAAGAAGTGCCTGCACTGGCATTCTGAAGGGTATCCCAGGTAAGGTACTGCTGGTTTGGCTCTAGTGAATCCCACAAAATTTTGGTTCTCCTGTGCGTGTAGCAGGTTGACACTAAACTATAGTCTATTCAGTGTGCAATGGTGCCATGGCAAAGTTTGACACATTGTGAGCATGTCCAGAATGTGAGCGATGGCCACAACCTAAGTACCCGGCTGTAGGAGATACTGGCACCAATTGACTTACTCAACACAGCGCTACCACAGATTTTCAATCTGTGAAAATGCCAGAAAGCGAAATGCAATAAAACCGGGGGTTCCTGTGCTTGGTCTTGTCCGAGGTGGCAAAGGAGAAGAATTTGGTTTTCAATCGAATGCCATTGATTATCCTTTTGCTCAACTTTTAAATGTGTTCCTCAGCTTTGAAACACGATGGGCAAGTGTGTTTTAGGAGTGGGAAACACTGCAAAGCCAAGCCATTGCATTGTGGGGATGTTTTTACCACACATGAGGTCTGACGGAATTTTGTTCCTCCTGACCCAGGAGCTGAAGCTGCCCTCCTACAAGGGCCAGTCCCCTCAGCTAAGTCTCCGACGGTATCTTGCTGACCTGATTGCCATTGTGAGCAATCGCTTCACGCTCTGCCCTTCTGCGCGACATCTTGCTGTCTATCTGCTCGACCTGTTCATGGATCGCTATGACATCTCTATCCAGCAGCTGCACTTGGTAGCGCTTTCCTGTCTGCTGCTAGCAAGTAAGTAAGAATCGCTCGATGGGACTGGAAATGTACCGCTTGTAGTAGCATGAGGGTACGGAGCGCTCGCTGAGACCACTGGGAAACCCAGCACTGGTCACCGGCGTCAGCAGCTCACATCGAAGCCCTTCTCAGTTCTCTAGGCTTACGGTCCCCACACGTACTTGGCCTCCTGCACCCTCTTCAGGGAAAAAAGAAAATGTACTTGGCACTGCCGAGGCAATGAAAAAAGCTCGTACTGGCACCCTGAATCCGGGATAAAGTGCAGGTGTCTACTTTTGCAGCCACCTGGATCCTTCTAGTGCCTTGCCCCCCAGTGAAGGTTGTGGGGCAGGGCAGGAGTATCGCCCACTTTGGGAAACACTGCTCTACATTTCTTTGTTTGTTATTTAAGTTAAAAACTTCTCAAGGTAGCTTCTCCAGTTGAGAACCATTGTCTGAAAGTAGTAGGTACCAGCCAGGGACACTTTGGGGAAATGTTTGGAGAGAAGGTTTCGTTGTTAGAACTTGGGACACGCTACTGTCAATGCACAGGATAGCCTCACGATAGAGAATTATCTGATGACCCAAAATGTCAGTGGAGTTAATGGTTGAGAAACTCCATCTTAAAGCTACCGTAGATGTATTGTTAAAATACTTCCTGCTGCTTCCATAATGCGTTGACATAATGAACTGATAGTTCATGGGAAACTGCTGCTACACATGAGAAATCCTTTGCCTGTGAATTAGACACGACCAGGTAGATCTGATATCGTCATACTTGTTTTACATACAGACTATACTGTTGAATCTTTTGGTAACTTTTTCTTAACGTGCATGTAACTCATTTTATTGCTGATTGATATCTTCACTAAATGGAGGGGGTGAGAAAGGAATCGAGTTTTTCTTTCAATAATATGTAAAGATTGTATTTGAAATTGAATACATTGGATTTACGTTATCATTACATGTATAGTTTTTATATTATCATTACAATAGAAATTTAACCACCACTTGAAAGCACTATATAGGTAGTGTCTGCGTTCACCTCTAAGCCTCTACCTGAGGGTGTAGAATCCACTAAGGCCCATTCCCCCTGCACTCGGCCACCACGCTGCTTTCTCAAGCATCTGGGAATTGATTGCTAATACACCTAAAACCAAATGCAGGCTCCTGTGGGATCATTTCTTGCACTTACCTCTTCTCAGGTTTATTTTCATATTTTTCCTTTAATTTATGACTGCAACTACTAATTTCATCCTTTTGAATGTCTCATAAATTCTGCCAAATCCTTTGTGGAAACAAGCTGGGCAGCCCAGAGATGCCGTCACTGCCCGGGGGTTAACTGCAAAGTCCTGACGGGGGCACTGAGGACATTTCATCTGCACCTGGCCATCTGCTAGTCCCCAGGCCTTGAGCTGAATTCTAATCAAAATGTATCTCCCGGATATGTATTTTTTCCCTCTAATCTATGGTCTCCAAACATCTCTCCCATCCCAGAGGCTTGAGAAGTGATGATTATACATTTATATTAACCTTTAAACAAGGTTCCATTCTCATAAGTGATCATGTGTACAGCACTGTATGTATTTCTGCTTATGAAGCCCTTACCTTTAAATATCAATGGCAGCTCTCCATAGTCACATAATGCTTATCTCCTCACAGAGAAACTGAGCTCTGTGTCTCCTCCTAGCCGCTCCCTCTTTGGGGTGAGTGGCTTATTCTAGAAAAGTGAGTAGTTTCAGGTGACAAATCAGTGACACCTGCGATCAGTTGGGGAATGGGAGGCTCTAGGTAGTTTAGTCCATGGAGCACACTTGTGATTTCCAAGTGCTAATGCTTTTCCAACTGCCTAGTCAGGTAGGGAAATGCAGGAAGAAGGCCCTGCACGTCCGTCTGATAGGAGAGTGGTACGTAGGGTTAGTGCTGAGCTTTGGGGTTTGAACTTCTTACTGGGCAAGATGACTTTACTCAGGTTACTTCTCTAGAAAATGGACATAAAGAAACTTGACAAAGGTCTCATGAGGATCAAGTGAGGATAATAGGTAGAGAAGCACATAGTCAATTGAAATATGTTGGCAGTGTAATAATTCCTCTGAAACTGTTCGGTAACCATTAGTTCCTTTGCCTTAAGGTTCTGGCTCATTTTAGAATGGGCCTTGATTTGTCCTGGGAAATTTTCAAATTCCAGTTGTTGCACATGCACACTTCAGCTCTCCTGGGCTTCGAAGAACAGCATTGAGCTGTGGAGAACTTGGAAATGAAGCCTTGGGATAATTTACTCAAGGACTTGGATAACCAAGAAATGATCTTGGATCAACAGTAACACCCAAAGTGGGCTTAGAGGCCACGCTGGTCACACTTTGTGACAAGTGCTTGCTTCCCCTTGCCCAGCAATACTGTATTGGCAAAACAGGGGAGGTGGCCTACTGACTCATTGTTGATCTTATTTCTCAATTTTCAATGGGCTTAGAATCTTTTTTCTTTTTAAATATATTGCCTCTTCCTGTTCTTTACCCATTTTTATGAGGATTCTTAGTCTATATTAAGTAACTTTTTTTTTTTCCGCTAATAGCACAAAATTGCATTGGCAGAGCTCAAAGTAATATCTGATCCACGCTTTACTAAATGTACAGAACTTCTCTACCACTTCTCTGCCACTTATGACCAGCTTTGGAAGTAAGCTAGTTTCCATGGCTGAGCTGCACATTTTCTATAAGGGAAAAATGACTTGATGTTCGGCTTCGTAATTCTAATGCTTTATTTTCTGGGAAGCAGGCATGAATTTCCTGTCTCCTGGTTTCCTGTTGGAGGCCTTTATCAATATAATCACATGGCATCTGGTATTTCCTCTCAATTGAAGAAACTGATGTTTCTGATCTGTATGTTTGGAATTGAGAATAGGTAGGTTTAAAATATACATACACACAGCTTCCAGCTATGTGAATGCAGGCACTGTTCGATGCCATTACAAATTGTGAAATCCTTTAATGTATTTATATCACTAATACACGTTGAAAAAATTCCAAACACTTAACACTGAATTAAAATCCCAACAGTAGTTATCTACGTAGTACATACAGGGTGTTTTTTACTTTTCAAATGAAGACACAGTCTTTCACACTTACGATAGCCAAATGCTGTATAAATACAGAGGCCTACTGAGCGCTTAATGATGTAGAAGTCCATCTATTTTGGTAGTTGTTATCCTCATACAACCTGATGCCACACTGTGGTTTAGCTGTGCAGACTTAGGAATTCAGACAGGGGTGTGGGGTGTGGGGTGTGTGTGTGTGTGTGTGTGTGTGTGTGTGTGTGT